TTTTTTCACTTTAGGTCACTTCTACCCTGTTGTTTTTTTTTACTGTTGTCATCATCTGTCATTTGTCTATATAACTATCAATTATCCAGTTATCTATCCATCCATCCTATTCTTTTTTTTTTTAAAGATTTTTTATTTATTTGCTTTTAGAAAAAGAGGGAAACATCAATGTGTGGTTGCCTCTTGTGCACCCCCAAGTGGGGACCTGGCCTGCAACCCAAGCATGTGCCCTAGACCGGGGATCGAACTGGCAACCCTTTCACAGACTGGCACTCAGTCCACTGAGCCATACCAGCCAGGGCCTATCTATCTCTTCTATTCATCTATCTATCCTATCGTTCTGTCATAAACATGATAGATACCTCAGGGTCATATGTATTACCTGCATTAAGTGCAGGACACGACAAGATTACTGCCACCATGTCGGCCACTGAAGCTTTCACCAGCCAGACTCAAAGTGGCGGCTTGCGAATGTCCTCCTCACATGCCTGGTCCCTCTGAGCAAGGATGGGCCCCCACTGCGCCGCCTACGAAGGCGGAACACTCTGGTTCCAGACTTGTCTGGTGCCGGGCCGCCTCTCCTTTCGGGTGTTCCATGCACACGTTGATTGTGGTGGGCGGGATTCTGGGACCCCCTTCACCACTGCTCACTGAGCCTCGAGGATCTGCTCTTGGCAATTTCGGAGGAAGGCAAGCAGGTGGAAGAGTGTGTGCAGACCACTGGATTGAAGGGAAGGGATGCTGCCTGCCGAGTCCGCTAATGGCTCTGCTCCCTGCTGCTGTGTGGCTTTCGGGGTGCCTTAACCTCTGTGCCCTCTTCGGTGGAACCAGACTACAGGACCGATCAGCGCCAGTCTCGTGAGGTCTGAGTCAGCTCTCGTAATGTGCTTGGTAATCACTGAGCCCACACTGAGGCTTCCTGGCAGTGAACGAAGAACCTTGAACAAAGGAGAATGCCCCGACACGGTGTTTGAGGTGGACTCGGAGGGAGAAGGTTAGCAAATATTCCCCTACCAGCTGCCACAAAAAATAAATGTAATCGATACTCATTCTGCGCTGCGTCATCATACAACGGAATTTCTAATTGCTTCCTAACAAGGGAAAAGAGCTTTCTTACAATTAAGAAAGCTTGCTGTAACCGCTCCAAGGAGATCTGCCCTGCAACCTTGAGACTAAAGGGTCATCCTGAGGTGGGACGAACGAGATTTGCCGTGGGCTGGATGGGAGGAGGTGGACGCCAAGGTGGGGACTCGAGGATGACCCTTGACGAAAGGAACTAGAGCCCTGAGCTTGGAGGGCTCGAAGGCAGGCGTGTGGTCAGTACCTGTTCAGACGTAGGGATTCTGGGGCTACTGGCCATCCCTGTGCAGGGGCTCCCCCCGGGCAGCCAGAGAGTGAATCCTGCAGAAGGGACTGGATGTGCCGCTCGGTCCCTGCCCCCAGCCTGAAAACCTTTCGCCTGGTACTCTGTGACCCGTGCTGGGTGCATATCCTCCCGCTCCCTGCTCCTGCAGCCATTTTTTAATCACTTATTTTGTTTCCACCATTTTATTACTGAACATTTTAAGCATACAGAAAATTGAACTTTACAGGGGAAAATGATATAATGGGGGAGAAGAGACAAACCTCTCATGTAGAAAAGTCCAAGTAATTGATGCAGATACTCGCTCTCAAGGAGGTGGAGTCTCCCCTTCCTACCCGCCCCCCCTGCCCCCCGCTTCTGGAGGGTGGGCACTTGTAGTGACACCTCTGTCAGCCAGAGGACAGTGGCCAACACCCACGGGGGTGTGGTGCTGGGCACCCTCGGTGGGATGTAATGACCGCGGCACTCGACCTGTGTGCTCAAAGCCCACCTCGTTCTACTCATGAACGAGACAAGTCCCAGCCTGACCAGTGCACCTCGAGCTGACACGGAAACCAAGGACAGTCGGAGAACGCACAGCCAGAGGAGCTGAAGGAGACACGGTGACTAGTGTCACATGGGGTCCTTGCACAGAAAGGGACACTAGGAGAACACTAGGAAAACTGAATACAGACTTTAATAATGGTAACTCACCAATAGGGGCCCACTGATTATGGCAAAAGTACCAAACTAACATGTCGATAATAGGAGAAACAGGTGTGGTTTATTGGAACACTCTCTACTATCTTTGCAATTTTTCTGTAAACCTAAAATTCTTCTAAAACACAAATAACCACCTCTCAACTATCTACTCCTTTTGCTCAAGAGGATTCTCAGGAAGCTGGGCAGCCGAGCCCACAGCCCCCTGAGCATCTCTGGTCTTTTCCTACTTGTCCCTGGGTTGTACTAGGAATGCTCAGGCCCCCAGGCTCAGCCACCCGGCTTCTTGACACAGGCTCTGCTGCCACCCAGTGGCCCTTTTAAATTAGAGTTGAGTGTATCTGAGCCCAGGCTGCCCTTGAACCCCGCCCCTCCCCCACAAGCCCCCCCCATCCAATGCTGGGCTTTTCCTAACTGCCCCAATTCCCAACTGTGGAGTCACGTCTGTGCAGCAGGCGTGGCCTGTCCAGTTGCCTTTGAAATATGAATATGAGCCGGGAGGCTTCAGCTGACTGGACCTTGGGGATGGGGGCCGGTGGGCCTGGGCCCGGGGCCTCCAGTGGCAGGACCGGTGGTCCCGAGCCGCCTTGCTGTGTGCTGGGCCACAGGGTGCCTGCGGTCAGTCGGGCTTTGATGCGCACACCGTGGCCACAGAGGTGAGAGGGACAGGAAGTGTGCTTCCCAAAGGGCAGTCACAGCGTTTTGCCTCCATGGCCTCATCCGTGTGGGCGGCTGGAGGTGTGGCTGTTTGTGCCTCTGGGTAGGAAGGCACCAAATGAGCTCGTCTAGTTTGGGTTTGCCCAGAAGCTGAGCCTGGGACAAGGGTTTGGTCCCAGGAAGCCCTGGCACAGAGTGAGACAGGAGGGAGTCAGATAAAAGCTATGTCAGTAAAACATTAATGGGGTGGCCTTGGACATCAGTCCTGCTGGGGAGCACCATTCCAGGTGGGGCACCGGGCCCTGGGGCTTGGGCTGCTTCTGGGGACATTAGCTGCACTTCTGGTGTCCTGAGCCACAAGAAGCAGCTTTCCAAGGCAGAAAAGGGTGCCAAGGGGTGGGCGGGGCACTGCCAGGTGCTCTCAGGGCATCGCTCACGTGATGCAGCTCCGCACCCAACCCTGTTCCACCCACCTCATCCCCAGTGGAGGGAGGCCCAGGGCGGGGAAGAGCGCAGGGCCCCGTGGAGATTCAGCCGAGCGCGGGGCGCTGTGTGGGTTAGGACCGGGCCCATGCCGCCTCCTACACGTGGGTGAGACTTTCTGAGGTGGGGAGCTGGCCTCTGGCACCACCCACTGCTCTGGTCAGACCCCCACCAAATGGAAGACCTGGCTCCTGTCCACTGGAGCAGGACCGCTTGTTTCCTCGGGTCGCTGAGTATGTGGGTGAGAAAAACGTATTACCAAGAACAGTTCTGACGAGCTGAAGCTCATGTTGTGAGGAATGTTGGAACTAGACCTTCCTCCTGAATCTCCACCGTGCCCCTGGAGCACCACCCCACCAAGGACACGCTCTCGCAGAGGAACCTGGGGTTGCCACGCTGGAAGACCTAGATCTCCGGGAGGGGCCAGCACCCTCAGCTGGAGGACCCCACAGGGAACCAAACATCCCAAGACCCCTGAGCAACAGCATGGAAACCTCAGGCCAGCTGTGGGGAGCCACAGCCTCCTGCAGCCATCACCGCCGTCTCCAGCCAGCATTCGCTCCGGGGTGGGGAGGGCTCGTGTCCGTTACCCATGTCTTGGTGGAGGAATGCAGGTGGACCGGGAGTGAAGGGTTGGCAGGCGAAGTCCCTGGTCCTCAGTGGAGAGCTGAGGGGCTGTGTTTAGCCTGCTCCTGGGGGAGGTCCCTCTGAAGGCTGGCTGTGGGAGCCAGCCAAGATCACGTTTAGCTTGTGGTGTGGGGGGAACTTACCTTGCCTTTCATGCCTTCTGGAAGCCAGATGGTCAGAGAGGCCACCAGGCTCTGGAAGATGTGGCAAGGACACAGACATGGCCGGGAATAGCCCCTATAAATCTGGAAGTAGCTGAAGGCGCAGTGTGTCCGGGCCCCTGTCCTCGGAGGGACATTCCCACAAATTCTCAGGTGGGGCTGCTCTGAGCCTCCAGAACACACAGCTGGGGAGCACTGCAGCCTCCGATGGCTGTCACGGCCACCATCTCCTTCCACCCTTATTCCTACAGCAGGCAGGGCAGTAACCACACTACAGGGAGCAGGCTGAGGCTCAATTTCCTTCCTTTTTTTTTTTTTTTTTTGGTGCGGGGGGGGGGGGGGGACGGGAACACCCGACTGGTAACTGGTAGGAAGTAGGACTTGTGCTAAAGCACAGTTCAGCCCCCCATGTGGCCACTTCCTGTCTGAGGTGTGACTCCTGGTTCCTACTCACAGAAGGGCAGAGCCACCAGTTCCGACCTTAGGGGACCCTGCTGTCTTAGAGAACTGTGACATACAAGTAGAGTGAACCACCTAGAAGAAATGGCAACAAATAAGATGTTATTCTGACAAAGTGTTCTTGGCAAGAGCACATCCGCTCCTGTCACCCAAGAACGGGGACCCTGCTCAAGGACAAGGGCTGAAACAGGAGCTGAGGATGGGCGGTGTGCCCCGGGGCCTCGGGCCACCGTGCCTGCGGTGCCCTCGCCCTCGCTGTTGTCCCACCCCCGTGACTTACCACACTGCTGCCGGGGGCTCTAGTTCCACTGCCTCTAGTTCCGCTGCGTGTGAATAATGGAGGGTCGGAGAGGCGGGAAGGCCTGGGCCCGAGTGCAAGCGCACTTGGCTGAGGAAGGAGGGGTGAGGCTGCAGCCAGCCCTGGAAGGTGAGTGAGAAGCACGTGCGACACCGAAGACAAAGCCCCGAATGAAACGGAAAGGCCTGGGAGGCGTGCGCGGGTGGGGTGTTCGCGGTGCGCTCTGCCAGACTTCTGACAACACGGGCCGTGGTGTTGCTCCAAAATTTTATTTGAATTTAAATTACAGGGCCAGACAGTCGGACGAGAAATTTACTTCCCCCCCGAGAAAGGAATGCCCTCGCGACACTGCCAACAGCTGCCTGCGCCTCAACCTTCGTTTTCTTCCGGGTCAACAACCACGGGAGTAACTGACTCGTGTGAAATTGAACCCCCTACACGGAGAGAAACCACTTCCGGTACAACAGTTTGGGTAACATGAATATATTAAATGGTCATAACTTCAAATGCAACTTTTCAACCTTGAATGTTTTCACATTTTTGTTAAAAACAAACAAACAAACAAACAAAGAACCCCCAAGCCGTACCTCCCTCCAGACTCCTGTGGGTGGGACCTCGCCGGCAGTCCCGGGCACGCTGCGCCCTCGCCCCACACCGAGCGCGGCGATGGCATCCCCCGCGTGGAGGCTGCAGCATCGTCTCAAGTTCTAAGAACCAGCCTGGCAGGGAGACCTTTCTTCCACTTGGTGTGATGTTCTCAACAGACCCTGACACCAGGCCTAGAGCACTGGGACCAAGGCATGCGTCACAGCCAAGCCTGCCGTCCCCGACACCTTGGTGTTTTCATTCAGAGAAGCTGAGGTCGCTTTCCCTACTGCCAACAGGACACATGAAAGATTTCACACAGACGGTGGTCAAGACAGCCTTGGAAAACCGATCTCAATGCAGGCTGCTGCGTAATTAAATAGAATGCAATACATCTGTGTTTTCCAGAGCTACTTTTTAAACTGGTGTTTTTACAACCTGCTGGAACATCACTTGGGAGTCTCATTTTACTGGCCGATAAATAATTCAATTAGTAAGAGAAGCTAGCAAAGAATAATCATATAAATTTCCTAGTCAGCCACAGCCATGCTGAGTTCGAACTGGCAAACTCTGATCTGTAAGTTGTTAGTTGTGGTCTTTGCATCACTAAGATGAACAGATACCATTCTAATAACTTTGGAGAGATATATTCTAGGAGACGCAGCTCTGCCGTGGTCACAGTAACAAAAAAGTGGTGCAAAATCAGTTATTTTATAAATACTGATCATTTGCAGCATTAAGGAAAAGGACATTAAGAAAAATACATTTCCCCACAGAACACCTATGACTAGAAACTCTTCCTAAGAGAAGCCGAGGTCTTGATCACTCAGTTTCACGACTATGGTGCTGGTTCCTTACGCTAAAGAAGAAGAGGTGCTGCACACGCTCCCTGCCCCCCCAAAGAACCAGCGCTGACTCAGCACAGTCGGCATCATTCACAGACCGAGCAAACTTACGACTCATTTTACATGGATAAGGCCAGTATGATGCAGGAGCTGAGTTCCGAGTCTGTACTGTACCCTATTGATGGCACCCCATTAGATAACTGAATACGAAGGACTGGTTTACTTTTTCCTTTTAATGCTGTGATACTTAAATGTTAAATCAGCATTTTCATGTGATCTGAAGTATTTCAATTACATATAAGCATTCATTTTTTGCAAAAACTCAACATTAGGTAATAGTTACATACTAATACAATAACATTCCTCTGCTGTACAAATTAAATCATTTAAAAGAAATGAGCATTCTAAGGATTATGTACAAAAGAAACCCACGAGCATCGTTGAAATGACACGCAAGGTGTCGCTGCTCTACCGTCTGAAGAGACCTTCCAACATATCCAGGTTTATAAGTCTTAAGAAAATCAAATGTCAAAAAATTCTAGAAAGCTGTCAAAAGCATATATACATTTTCCTCATGACCTTATGAAGCTTCACACTTTTAAGGAGTTGCTAAGTTTCAGTATCAAGTTATTCTCATGTCAATTTTATCCACCCAAAAGCTCACGTCGTGGGTGCGGACCCCCGATTCCAGACGCAGCACCGTCTTCCTCTGGTGAAGGCGACCTCCGCACCGAGAACCCACGCCCCGCTCTTACGAAGACCAACGCAAACCCGCAGGTCAGTCTGACCCCATCGACGCCTCCGCCCCTCCACCACACACCGCCCCTCCTCCTGCCCTCAGGAACCTAGCCGTGTCCACGGCTCCTACAGCAAACAGGGTCTCTGAATCCTGAAATGACACAAAGATCAAGAAAAGTCCACGTGTGCTCTAGTGTGCAAGAAAGCAGCAGCTACCTTCTCCAGGTTCGACTAAAAACAAAACAAAACAAAACAAAACAAGGTAAAATGAAAAACCGTTCACTTAACAGCAGATGAGCAGTATTGTTCCTCATGAATTGGAAAGAGTGCCTGATGCTGAAGAGCTAACAGCAAGTGCTGGGTTTGGGTTTACTAGTTTGGATGTTTACGGGGGCAGTTAGGCCTCTTGCTGAGCTGGTCTCTTCAAGTCCCTGATCTGTTTGACCAAGTAGGTCTTCTCGTCATTAAACTGCTCGTCCTCGGTCCTGTCGTTCTGAAACTTGCTGAGGAACTCGATGAGTTTGGTCTGGTTCTTGAGGAGGATGTCTAGGATGGGCTGAGTCTTGTTAGGGTTGGCAACGAACACCTGCAGGAGAGAGGCCACCATCAGCCGCGGGAAGGAACAAGAGGCGCACGCAGGACACACCCAGGGCTTCCCTCCTGGGGCACGAGGGGGAGTCTGGTCACTCTGTCAGAGGTTTGTGCTTTGGAAAATTGTATTTTGCAATTTGAAAATTTTAAAAAAGCTTGTGTTTTAGCACAATAAGCACTGGCATGTTCATTCATGCTCTGAAACTTGGTAGTTGGCATTAAATACAGTTGCTGATTTTAGGATAAAATGGGCAGAAATCATTTCTGGGCACAAGAGACCAGAATGATTTTGAGAATAAACCCCCCTGGGAAAGCATGAGACCCAGATTAAGCCCAATCTTGTGACTGACACCCTCAGGTAAAGACAAACGGCACCCTCTGCTAATAAACTTGTTGTCAAACCTAAATGGTCTGCCCTGTTTCTGGGTCCATTTTTGTTTAAACGTTTTACCTCATTTAGACAAAAACGCGAAAGTTACCTGAACCGAATCTCATTACTTAGACTGTCACAGTGAGGCCAGCGACGGTTTCAGTACTCTACCTTGAAAACGTGGAAGGCCTCAAACTGGATGTTGCGGCTTTTGTCTCGTAGGAGATTCATCATGAGTTTGAGGTTCTCGGGTTTACTGATGTATTTTGTCATAATTGTGAAGTTGTGTCGGTCTAGTAACAGCTCACCAAGAAGCTGAGAAGACAGGTAAAGAATTACTCTAAGATCCGAAGAAAAACCAAAGTTAAAAAAACTCACTTAACGACCATCACCCTAGGCACAGAGCACCACTAGCTGTTCTGCAGACACTCGGACTAGACCGTGACCTAGAAGCCGCCGAGTGCCCCCTTCCCGTGGGTGTTTGAACCTGCGGCGAGGCTGGCACTGCTCTCTGAAGGGAACATTCAGGCACATTTGGCCCCAGAATAAGACTGTCAGAACTTAACTAAAAATTAATTTTATTTATTTGAATTTCCCAGGACAAAAGGGTCATTTCCAAAGTTTTCCATACACTAACTTCTACACGGGTCAAAGTTATCATATCTGATTCAGAAAGGTTTATAAAAATGAAAACTTTTCTACTCCTTAAGCCAAGTCTCCCAGAGATACTCCCTTTCTTCCTTAGTGACTGACTCCTCATCACTAATATCGGCAATTAATTAACAACATCTATTAAGCTGGAAAGAATTGTGCATTCAGGGCTTCCTGAGTTCTGTAGGTGCATTACACTTTATCTAACTTACAAATCATCACTGCTCACTCTAAATTCTTCTTTTTTTGGAAACCAGCTGTCACCTCTCTGTGTGGTCAGCACCAAGGCCCAGTGGGGGTCTGGTGGTGTGTCCTGCAATGGGGTGGGGCTGAGCTGTGGCCCTTGTGGACAGAGGCAGAAGCAAAGTCAGGAGGGACTGCCCCTGGGCACCAGGCCGCTGGTGTTAGAATCCGGGCTCCTTCTGAACTACATGACCTTGAACACGCTATTTAACTTCCAGTGGAATTATTCATAACCTATTTCAACCCAAGCAGCCAAACCTGCCCACGACCCCCAGTTTCACTGCTCACACCATGTTCCCTCCCCGCCCCCAGCAAATAAGTCCCTGCCTTTGGGCAGCATCCTGGGGAGGTAACACCGGTCATGTCTTCATCTCGTTGGTTCAGTTCTAAGTTTTAAAAATATGCTTCAAAACCTAAAGTGCTGCATTACTAAGAGATAAAGTCCTCTTGGAAATTCTGTACATTGCACTTTGGTGTCTCTAAGTTACAAGGAGGTGGGCAGGCGTCTCGTGTGGGCCACTGATGCACCTGCTCCTTTCCACACCAACTGTGGCCACGCACAAATGTATCTCCCCCGAGGGTCCAAGACCCACACGCTAGTGGAGTTCCCTCTCCCCCAAATCAAACACAGGATCTGAAATGAAAGTACACAGAGAAATGAAGTACATCAAATAAATAATCTGTCATACCTTGAGTGACTGTCTTTTTGTCACATAGTTTTCTGAATGAAGCAACTTCTCATATTCACTGAAGAACTAAGACAAAAGATACGTATCAGAGTTAATTAGGTTTTTGAAGACTGGCAGACAATGCTATAAAACTTGAGCAGAAACCTCTAACCCCGTGGAGGCCCAACACTGCCCAAGCCTCCTCCCATCTGCCCCGCACTTCCTGCTCCTTCCTGGCTCAGGAGCTCTCGGGGGGCAGAGTGGGGGTGCCTGCTGAACACGTCTGTGCAGAGCGCTCCTGGACCGACCCCTCCCAGCCCTGCACAGGCCCATGTGCAGCTTGTCTGGTCTTCTGCTCCCGAACTCCACGTTCATGAAACAGAACTCCCACCCCCTGTTTCCTCACTATTGAGTCATTTCTTGGTGTTACACTAGAAAATTCATATTCTTTACAGATGAGAACTCAACAAGCCCAAAGCACAACCACAAAGAGAAAAAGCTACCTGTTCTTTCTATGCATCAAGCACAGACAGAAATAATTAAGAATAGGGGAGAGGAGACATTCAGCATTGTGCTGAATCTGCAGACATCCTAGAAAGCAGGAGTTCAGCTCACACTTGAATAATGAGAGGGATTTCATTTAGAAATGGGGTGGCGGGGTGGCAGGATTCTCGGGGGATACACGGGAAGGACCCGGCACGAGTAGAGGCCCGGAGAGTGCAAAACGCTACAGGTGTAAGGACTGACAAGCGTCTACCACCGGAATGGTGGGCAGGGAAACGAGGGCCCCCCGGGGCCAAGGCTACACTTTGAGAAAGTGAGGACAGAAGGCAGGCTAGCTTTAACACACACGCACACACACTTGCTTTAACTGTAGTAGGTTTTAAAAGCCCCACAGTTGTATACCACCAGCATGACTGTCGGAGAGCAACACCGTCCTGAGGCTATCCTGGTTGTGGTGGGTGGCGGAGGACGCTGCTTCAGGATGTGTCCCCCCTAAAACTACCTGTGCCTGTACTCTATGCTGGGTCTTTGGCGGCCCCTCATCTGTGGTTTAGAGGAGGGGTCGGCAAACTATGGCTTACAGGTCAAATCCTGCTCACTGCCCATTTCTATAAAGGAAGCTTTATTGGGGCATAGCCATGCCCACTCATTTATTGTAAACAGATTTGTTTATGCATTTTTATTTCTGTTTTTGCAGCATAACAGATAAGAGAGCTGACTGAGACCACAGGACCAAGAAGCTTCAACTGTTTACTGTCTGGCCCTTTTTAGAAGAGGTTTTCCGGCCTTGGTTTGGGGCTGCCTGTGTGTCATTTCTTTCAATGATGCACAGCCTCTAGGAGGGAGTGGGATGGCTCCCTACTTACTTAAATAAGCAAGCCAGACATGTATTTTCAGACAGGGCTGTTAACCCTACCTTCTCAAGTGATCATCACACTGATGGTCAAAACACTGGAACTGCCTTTAATCAGTAACATGGAACATGTATACCTCAAGTTCTTAGCAGAAAAACCAAGTCAAGATATTTCTGCTACCTCATGCTTAGTTGCAAGAAATCGTTCCCATGCACTGCCCCCCGATGTGTTAGGCTCCGTCCTGGATTCGGACAAGCCAAGGACAGGCACTGCTGGGCTCCTCAGAGACCTGGTCTGCTACGCGGCGCTGTCATTTAATCCCCCTCTAGGAGTGCCAACACTCGTTTCAGGTCTCAGTGCTAGAAAGAGCTGTTCTGAGCAACAGGCATCTCTTGCTTTACACAGACTGGGACCTTTTCATTGACTTTGGTTATTACAAAGCTCAGGGTCAAGATGTCTAGGATTTTAGAGCACGTATTTTGTGCAATAACCCACCTCTGGCTTCATGTAATTTACCCACATCCCCCCACCATCCTTCTCCCTCCGTCAGGCTCTGCCCGTGCTGCACACGCTTCTGTTAGCTGCATCACCTGAGTCTTTCTAAAATCCTGTTAACTAACGTCACACACTAATAACACATGCCACTGACTGTAGTCGAGTTCTTGGAACTGGTCACCATTAGCTTTGGTGGGCCTTAAGATACTGGCATGTTGAAATAAAACACCCGAGGCCACGTGGAAACATGCATGGTGCAGCGGCGTGCCTCGCACTTGACACACACACTCTCTTTCAGCCTCCCAACAGCTCCGCAGGCAAAGAGGGTGAATGAAGGCCATGCCCATGGGCTGGGGGCGCACACGATGGGGTTGCGACGTGAAGCCAGGCTCCTGGAAGTCTGGTGCCAAAGCCCACGCTTCTAACTACTTAAAGGCACCGATGAAATGACCATGCTGCCATTTTAGACCAACAAACAGAAGAAGAAACGCATTCCCATCCAAAAACACACAGGCAGAAGCAAAACCGAACGCCCCACCATGCTTGCACCACCTCTGGGGCTGCCCGAGGGGCTTCCTAGGTGCTGTGCATGGTGTTAGGACGGTACTGGGAGTGGGAGGGAAACACAGGGAAAGGGAACATGAAAGAATTAGCACAGATTTTGATTATTTTAAGATTTTTGTAAGACTTTATAAGAATCTTAATTTAGTTGAAGAACAAAGTGAACAATGAAGATGAACAATACCTAGAATTTCAAAAATGCAAACGACCAGTGGAAGGATGAGCCTAAGCCCGACCCTGCGAGATGGACGGAGACCGTCAGCGGACCGTGGTTACCGGGAGTCCTCCCGGAGCACCTGCGAGACCTTCAGCGTGGAGGCTGCACTCGGGCGGCACCTGCAGGTGCTTGTGGGTCTTGTGGAGAGCAGAGCCTCTCGGGAAGGGGGGAAGAACACCTGCACTGGGGCCTGAAGGCTGCTGTGACAGTCAAGGTCAGCTTATTAGCACACTCAGAACCATGGACACACCTTGGGGGCTCTATTACCAGGAAGTCTGACATGGATTCAACCTGGAAGGGACCTCACTGCTGGGCTAGTCCAGTGTCCTCGCTTTACAAACAAGGATGGACCTCTGAGTCCCCCAGCGCTAATGGCTTTGGTGGGGATGGGAGTCGGCCTCGGAGCAGGGCAGAAGCAGGCCCTGCCTCCTCGGGGCTGGGGCTTCTGCCGCTGTGCCTCCCTTTCTCTGCGTCAGCAGCACCAGTGTGAGCCCCTGACGGGAAGGAGTGTGAGGAGGTCAGAAGCTTTTCCTCTCATCTCAACTGGGTATCACATGCCATTCAGCACAAAGCGCTTTCTTCTCTTATTCTAAAGCAAGAAAAGATTCAAAGGGCGGTGTATAGATCAGAAAGACCAGTCTGCTTCTGACCAAATAAAGCTCCTTACCCCACTTTATGGAGAATGATTACGTCACCATCTTAAAACTTCACAGACACAAACCAAACATTCTGGTACAAAATATAACATAAGCCTTTTAATCCCGAGAACAAAACTTAAAATTTGCTATTTTAGAATAGTATTTCATATACTTACTCTATCATAATGCTGTTCCAAAAATTCTGCACTGAGCAATTTATGTCTCGTGAGCAAATCCTAGAAAAAGAAAACATAGTCAAAAAGTTGTTCTGCATTCAAGTTAATTTAGAAAAGAAAATCCCAAAACATTTCACACCATTTTACCAAATACAAACTGTTGTTAAAACTACTATACTTAAAAAACATTTGAACATGAATTGTACTGGAAATATTGATTTTGAATATGAGTATATAAAATCAGTACTTTGAAATTGCGATTTTAGTGATTATGATTAATCACACATCTATAGCTCATAGAAGGAAACATTTAAAAACAAATATATAAGACAATGAAAATATACACTCAAAGAGAATGAAGAACTGCTGTGGAATAAAAGTAAATAATTCTGATAAAATGTCAAATAGAATAATGCTCCTGGTGGAAAAAGAGGACATTTCTTTAATTAAAAAAAGTATCAGAGGCTCCATTTCCTTCCTCCTAAGTTCAACTGCATTCAGTTTCACACCGAATGAAGTCTTTGACAGAGGCAGAGTGTTTTCTAAAAGCCCTGTCATTTTATAAATATTAGCTCCTAAGTAAGCAGAATAATGCTGCACACATGTACGATAGGAAATTATTAAGACCCCGCATCTAATTCTGCATTACCACAAAATAGAGCCTATGCTTCACACCTCATGCATTTCCTTGGAAAAAAAGTCAAGGATCATTCATTCAGAAAATATCTACTATGTGCCAGGTAAAGCTCTAGGTGCTAGGGTTACAACGAAAGGAGATGTGGCCCATGCCTTCAAGGACCTGAAGTTGGCAATGACCAGCCAGGTGGGAAAAATGGGCACAGGTGATGGCAGAACTGGCCAGTCGCCGTTCGGGGAATGAAGGAATTAAGTTCCTGTGCAGCCCCTACTGCTGAGGTTGGTGCCAATAACCCCCCTTTCTCAGACAGACTTCCCTTAACTTGAGCTCTCTGCTGTTTACATTGGAGTTCCCTAGGTGACACCAAACTGGTGTCTCCTGAGGATGTCCAAGTCCCACGAACATGGGAAATGCTCTAAGAAATGTTCCATGGTCACACCAATGTGGAAGGCCCCGCGGCACCGGCACCGGCACCTCCGTGGGGTCCAGCGGCAGGGGGTTTGCAGGAGGCTGTCTGCCAGCCGAGTGCCAGAGCCCCGCCCTGCCCGGCCTCCAGCCTCCCAGGCACAGGCTTCCCGCCCTAGGAACCTACTGCCTTCGGCCCTCAACGTGAGCACCACTCCCACAGGGAACCCTTCCCGACTGGTCACCAGCACGAAAGCATGGTCACAGGTGACGCCATATCTGGGGGATTACTCAATGAATGTCTCATGTGAGACTGTACATTCTATAAACACAAGGGTCAAGTCTATTTTCACTAATCCCTGAATCCCCAGCACCTATGCAGTGCCCAGCACATAGTAAGAAATTAACATCTAATGAATGAATGAATGAACCAACCAAATCAGGGAATGTTTGAGAAAACGTCTCATTAGGCAAGGTTCAAAGTATGCTTTTAAGAAGGCTTCTAATTTCATCCCAAAGATTTACAGGTATTTAAACTGCTGGATAGGATATATATTATATGCCCATGAAAGACCTACCCAATTTATTCTGAATCCCCCTTAGGGATTCAAGAGGCCAAATTAAGAAAGCTGGAGTTCATTTTGAGTACTGGTACCTGAGGAGTCACATGAGAAATGCTAGGAGGCACCCAACCCCGTGTGGGGAGGAGGCAATGGAGGGGTGGGAGAACTGATACTGTCTCAGTGTTATCTCAGGGCCAGAGGTAAGGGAGAGAGAAACGAGAACTTAAGTTATGGGCATATATGCCAAACATGCTTGTTAAGAGCACTTCCCTCCTCCTCGCACGCGGCGGTGGCCTGTTCACGGCGGTCTCGCGTGCGCGGAGGCCGCACAGGCAGGGGTCTGTGGGCACAGGGTCTGTCTGCACAGGGCCTGTGGAGCCCCGCAGCTGGAGAACCGCGCCCAACACGGCAGGCACCGAGACCCTCAGAATGAACTGAATGAACAAACGAGTGAGTGAGTGAAGGGATTAACGAGCTGGGATCTGAGCTGAGTGCCACTTGTACTTTTTTGTGGTAAACCACTCTAGAGCCCAGTGCTCACTGCTCTGTCATAAGCTGACAACAGAGAAGGCCAGAGGGAGGCGTCTGAGAGACAGTGGCCCTCAGCTGGGGCAGGGTTCTTAGGAGCAGGCAGGTAGTAAGCACTGCTTTACAAAGCAAAGGTCCTAAGCGTGTTGTGCTGCAGATCTGACTGCAGGTCTGAGTAAGGGGCTGCTCTGCTGAGGCTCTATCTCAAGTAGGGGCAAGGGGCAAGAGACTCACAGTTGGGCCACTCACGTTTGGCCCAACAGGAAAAGAGGGATTGCCAGCATCTCCCCATCTAGGGGTGTCTACTTGTTATCACCTTGTTTACAGAGATCATTAAACTCAGAAGACCACTGACAATGTAGGAGTCAAGTCCCAAAAGCCTTGGGGTAGGAGAGACAGAGGGGTGCTCTGAGGTTACTAAAGTAGGAGCTGAGCCCTGGGGCCCCACTGGATGAAAGCCCTTAGTTTAAGAAGGGCCATGCCAGGGCAGGGCCTGGAGGGGACAGTCACACATTGGTAGAAAAGGAGCAACTGCTGAGAGCCAGCGCAGAGAAAAAGGGCTGATACTAAGCTGGGAAATGAGGAGATGGGATTTAGGCCGTGCCTCTGTCTCCTGAGAGATGAGAGGGAACTTCACCTTAGGACTGGAGCCCAGAGCTTTGGGCAGCTCGAACCAGGGTGTGAGGACAGAAGCCAACAGAACAGAGGATGACGGGAGACGGTTATGCAGTCGGTGCCCGGTCAGCACCCTGCAGTTTACAGAGCTGCTGGCCTGCCGGCAGGGGGAGAGCGGGATCGCTCGTCTCCCACCTGTCTAAATTCCAGTGCGCCCAAGGCCCTGGTATAACTTGGAGAAAGGTCAGGACTCATATCCCAAGTCCAGCAGATTAAGCAGCCCACTTTTAGGATGGGTTGAATTAAAAAAGATGTCTAAAAATTATGTAAGTTTGGTCCCCAAATTTCACACGATAAAGACAGCCATGGAATCCTAGGGAAAATGGTGCTAGGCCAGGGGCTGATTCTCATGGAACCCTGACGCTTGAGTGTGTATATCCAAGGACAAGAAACTGAACTCTGCTAACTGCACGGCTCCCCCTGGAGCTCTCAGAGTCTGCATGTTTTTCCTGTGCTAGAGCAGAGCCTACGCCCGATTATTTCTAGAAATAGGTTCGGTCCACTGTCTAGAGCCCCCCCACACACTACGCACAGCAGTGCTCTCATGGCAGGTCCCTGCTGAGTCTTCTCCAGGCTAAACACGTCCGGCTGCTGAACGCCCCTCACCATCTAATGACCCCTGAAAGCCATCCACTGGTCTGTGGGCCTCTTAAGGCATTGTGCCCGGAACGGAACACATGTATGTGCTGTTACCTGGCAAGCTTAGAGTGGGCCAAGACCACCGACAGCTCCTCGGGCCACACTACTGGGCCCTCAGGCGGAGAGACCCTGCTGTGTGTACTTAATTTCATCCCGAGACACCCTGGCCTCGCTGGATCTCAGGAACCTTATTTGAGGCTCCCAGTTACTATCTTTTCCATCATGGCTATCACCTACCCCTCTGGTAAGTGTGCCTTGTCCCCCTAAGTCATTAATAATGACTGACCTGGCTGGGTGCAGAGCCAGCGGAGGTCTCCCTCTAGGGTGACGGCAAACCCTTTTCCAGCACCTTCTGGATACAGCACCCAGTGAGCCTCAGACCACCACACTGAAACCCCACCTAGCTCTTCATCTTTTTGTTGTCTGCATGAAAACAGGCCTGTATCGTGATTCAATGCCAGGGGTACGCTCACTGTCAGGAACGACTCCTAACAGCTGCTGTTCACAGCACAAATGCTGTGTAGGGCCACGATAGGCTGACACACTAGTGTTACACCCACATTTCAGCAGATGAAGACACCCGTTAAATCAGCAGCAGAGCTGGGAACTGAACCCAGGCAGCCGTGCCCTGAAGCCCCCTGGTCTATTGGCAGCAATGAGATTAGTATGACTGAACTTACTCTTAGTGAATCCATGCTGGCTGTGGGTACTCGGTTTCCTTTCCAAAATGCTCTGATATCATCTCTTTAGAAATACTTTCTAGAACCTTACACAGGTATAACATCAAGCTCCAAGCTCCACCAGCCACTCTGGGGAATCTACCTTCTTTTATTCTGGAAAATTGGAAATATATTTGTTGGCCTTTTGATGCCCCTCCCAATCTTCTAATTCCTTAAAAAGATCACTAATGAATATTTGGTCACTGATTTAACTATCTCAGTACCGTTCATTCAACCTACAAAACTTGGACACATTTACAGCAGGTAGTTTTAATTTCCTCCTAAGACTTGGCCCCCTTCAAGGGGCCTCAACTCCAGGGTCAAGGATGAGTGGCATCTGTCTGAAAGTTTTTATGTGCAGACCGCCTTTTGGGGAAGCTGCTCTGATCACAGTCTCAAAGGACAGCATGAACCATGGGTTTGTTCTTTTCCTTATAAAAATACGCTCTGCCAAGAGGACACCAGTACAGCTGGAGGCAGGCCACCGCCCTCCCCGCTGCCGGCAACTGCTGGGTGCGGCAGACACGGCCACTGCTGGTCTTCCTGCTGCACCGACTCCGGGGGGTTTCCTCAGGTTGGGGTGGGAGGGGGTTTCAGTCTGTTTGCTAGGGTTTGGCCTCTCACCCATTTTACTTACAGGAGGGCTCCCTCTAAATCAGCTCGCCATTTTCCATGCTCCCAGGAGCAGCTGAGCTGCGGAATCCCCACCAGCTGCTCAGTGCTCACCCTTCTCGAGCTCGTCCCTAGACTCCTACGAGGTTCTGAAGTTCCCCCTCTTCAGGCAGAGACCACTGCCTGGCTGTGCCCAATTGTGCCCTCTGGGGCACCAAGACCTAGTAGGGTTGCTGTTCCCACAGTGATTCCATCACCTCAGTGTGAATTTAATTCACAGAAGCAATCCTAACTGAGGTGACATTATCAGCAACGCCAATCAGGACTTAGTCAGATACCGGGACTCACATTTCTGGCACACAGTCGGCACACCTGTCTCACCCATTGGTCACTTTTGCCACCTGTGCCGGGAGCATGGCAGCCGTGTTCTCCTCGGCTGGGCGGTCTGGCTGCATTCTCCCCCGCCTCTGCCGCCCCTCTCTGCCTCTCCCTCACCCTCCTGCTCCACAGAGTGGCCACTCTTGGGCTCATGGCTTTCTTTCTACATGGGAATATCTTCTCTTCTTGACACACGGTGCTGCTACGCCTCCTTTCGCAACGGGCCTGCGGCTGCTGAAAGGCACACACCCTCCCTCCTAAGCATGAGTCCTACCCACCAAGGGTGACAATACCTAACGCATCGTCACATGTACTGTTGTTATCATCCTAAATTCACTCCATCTGGCTTTGTACACTGACATGTAAACATCTGAGGTCTTACTTAAAGCTTCTGACATCCTCTTTAATGGTTTCAGGAACATGAATCCCTGGGCACCTCTCACGCTATTATTTTATTCTTATTCAACGTGAAACTCTAAGGCCAGATCCCCAGGCTTTCGTCCTATTTCAAGGGGGTTCGTTTGCTCTGAGGGACATATTTTACCCAGAAGCCGAGGCCTGTGCTCACCTCAGGGGCTCTTTATAATCATAAAACAGCCCTGATAAGAAACCTGGCCACTTCTCATTGTGACAGTGTTCATGGTTTCTAAGCACAGCAGCCTGCAGGTCAGCACACTGAATTCTGATTATGTGAAAACAGCAGTCTAAATATTCACTTACTAGGTCACATATTTATATAAGGGAATGCAACACGGAAAGACTTGCTCTCATTGTGAAAACCACTAATAAAGATTAGTTTTATTCTTACACCTTAACAGCATAGAACCTTCCAATCAAAACAAAAATGTGCATGCTGTACAGTGGTACCTACCACGCGTCTATTTCATTCAGACACACATATAACAGGGAGGAAGGTGGACGGGTGAGGGAGGCCACACGATAACCTGCACAGTGCAGGCGACTCCGTCTACCCCCACCCTCCGCACCGAATACACAAGCTCTGGCATGAGCGTCGGGTGGGAGGGGTAGGTCCACTTCTCTGGGGCCTGAACAGAAGTGAGCTCCTTCATCTGGTGCTTAACCAAAGACATTGCAACAGCATGTCCAACACAGGAGAAAACCCTGGTTGTTACAGCTACATACTGTGCTTGATGGGTAATTTAACAGAAAAAGATACTTCTGTCTTTTAGAAAGACAAAAAAGATAGAATCTAACTTTTCCACCCTCTTAAAGCTATGACTGTATTCATATACTTAAGTCACACAGACGTATATGGGGGAGGGGCAAAGTAATGTTTAAAGTTGTATTAAAATAATACAATAATTAGTAAATAATAATACAAGAATAAACTTTCATGGACTCACTAAAGGAAACCTACTTTTCCCCACGCTGTATATAAACTGTCTTCTCTCTTCCCACTAGGGGGCAGCAGTGTGTAGGCTGGGAGAGTAGAGGTTTAGGAATCGGCACCTGTAAATCTGACTTGTAAGTACATGTAAAATTCTCTGGTTTCTATATGTTACCTTGAATGTGGCAAACGCATCTGAAGCTATGTCAAATGTTGACATTTCAACATATCGGAAGAAATCATAAAACTGCTCTGACCACAGAATAATTTTTGCAAGTGGTTCATGTCTGATGCACTCTCGTAACATTATCCCGCAATTTAGAGCTATTTCCGGAGATTCATACCTGCAAAAAGAGAAAACAAACGTGACTGCTCTTTCACAACTCCAGCACCGAACAGTTCACAGTTTCAGAACGGGAAGTGTCGGATGCGTCCTAACCCTGGGAGGACAGCAGGTGACACGCGGCGCCTCTCCCAGAGCAGAGGGCTTGCTCAGGTGAATTTCCTCTTTCCATAGGGCGCACACACACCAGCCGCTGGCGACCACTTCGACCCAAAGAAAAACCACAGGCCGAGAGTGATCGTGTGACTAAAAATTCATTATTTAAGCTAAAAACTTTGAAGAGAAGTATTTAGGGACACACCTCCCAAGAAGGATTAGTTTTACATGTGGGATGCTCTCAACACTTTAGAAAACCCAAAAGCTGACTTAAAAAATTATATGAAATAAGTAAAGTTTCCTAAATCCATAGTATCTGAACAGCTCTATCCCACATACAACATTTACATTTCATTGTTTCAATTCAACACTCAGAACAGTCCTTTTAAGACTCTCAGCAACACCTAACCCTTCAGACCTGGAAGTGTGGTCCTGAGATGTCACGGTCAATGAGAGCCCTCAGGACACTCGAGTGGGCTCCCCAGGCAGCCCTCCTCTACCCCCTTCAGGGGCTCTTGTGTCTTCCTCCCCCAGGCTCAGAAAGATCAGCTCCTTTGCCCTCAGCCCAGCAGCCCTGTCCCTGCTGCTGTGCACCCAGCCCCTCGGACTGGCTCTGGCCTTCTGCCTGAACACAGTGCCCTCTTCCTCCACCTCCTTTCAAGCTGCACGCACAGATTTAATGTCTTTCCCACTCAGTCTCCTCCAGTCTCTCATAATCAAATCCCATTTCCCAACATTCTACTAGCAAAGACCTCTTGGACAATTCAGCCTTTTCTCCCAACAGATTCTCCCACCTCGCGTCCTGCCAGCGCTGGCCTTTGCATCTCTCTCTCAGAGAAAAAAACCCAGTTTTCCGTTCTACCTCCGACTCTTCTCATTTTCTGTCTGGTTGAGGTTTCTCCTTAATTTCTGCTGGCTGCTAGTGGACACCTGTACACTCTCCCAGCCACCGCGACCCCACCCTGTCTCCCGCTCAGGTTCACACCTGAGCTATGCTTGGGCACTTTCTGTGGTCTCTGGACAACTTCAGTTAAAGGTCTGCCAGAAACTCCACATGTCTAAAATCGAATCTCATCTCCCTTCACGATACCGGCCGCCACTCCAGCCTCCTCATCTCTGGGCTGGCACTGCTGTTCTGTTTCAGACACGCAAGCCTCTGACAGACGGTCCTGAGAGAATGCTCTGCGGTGACAGAACTGGTTTCCATCTGTGCGTCCATGATGGTAGCTGCTGCCAGAGTGGCCACCAACCACTTGCAATTTGGCTTAAAATAACTAAGGGATTAAATTTTAAATATTACCTAATTTAAATTAATTCGAAATTAAATAATCCCATGTAGGTACTCTATTGGATAACACAATCCCAAGCTCACCCTCTTTATCTGCTCCTAATCTCTCCATCTCCAAGGTACCACCAGTCCTCTCCGAGTGCTGCTTGGGGACACCTCAGTTTCAGTTCCTGCTCCTGCTCCCACCGCTGCACTAACTCACACCTAGAGCAGTGCAGTGCCCCTACCCAGCACCTGGGGTAAAGCTCCGTGTTACCACAACTACCTGACACACAAGTGTAACAACAGCACCTCCAGCCTGGGAGTTTACAATGATTTCTTCTTGCTAATCAAATAATGACAAGGGTAAGACAGTTTGGTTCAACAAGTTGGACAGGTTTTGATGGTGGCTAGTCAAGCTTATCTTACACCATTAAACCATAAACCAATGATTACAAGGCAAACAGTTATGCTGTACAACCTGTTAGCACTGGAGTGGCGAGCACATTGACATTTAAATCACCAGAGCAAACACTGTCTCCAGATGCAGTCTGGCACCAGCAACAAGAGTATTTGCAAATGCAAGCCAAAGGCAGCAGCATAATTCCCCGAATATCTGCCATCCAAGTACTTAGTAAGAGCGGAGCAGAGCAGACGGTCACAGGGTAGGAAAGTAGCCTCAGCTGATGACCCACAAAAGGACAGAAACCTTAAAAGGTGGTTCACAGGGTTCCTTGAAGAAATGGCTATTCGCAGGTCTGAGGAAGGAACCCATACAAAACAGCAAAGGGACATCTTGTGTCAGAAAGCACAGGACTGGTCAAAGAGGATGCGGTCTGGCCAGGAGGACAGAGGAGCTCCCAAGGGCCCAAGGTGGGGCAGTTGGGACATATAATTTGAACATGATAACTGGAATGGATTGAAACACATTAAATATATTTTTATTTTATGTATTTCTTTTTAGATAGAAGGGAAGGGAAGGAGAGAGTGGGAGAGAAACATCAGTGTGTGGTTGCCTATCATGTGTCCCCTACTGGGGACCTGGCCTGCAACCCAGGCATGTGCCCAACCGGGAATCGAACCAGAGACCCCTTGCTTCACAGGCCCGTGCTCAATCCACTGAGCTACACCAGCCAGGGCTAAATATATTTTTAAAAACCCGAATTCTTGAGTTGTTCATAGATGCCAGGGATGCATGTGCACAGAGTGAAGCCCACATGAGTCCACACAGCAGGAAGGTGGACACCTGCAAGCCCAGGAGAGCAGCCTCAGAAGAAACCAAACCTGCCAACACTGGGTCGTGGGCTCCCTGTGACCCAGGACTGAGGAAATCAATGTCTGTTTTTAAGCCACTCAGGCTGTGGTATGGTGTCATGGCTTCCCCACCAGCGATCGCTCCAAGTGCGTCGTGATCTGAGTAAGCGTGGGTCTCCTTACTGTCCGGAGTCCCCGCTTCCCCACGTGCAGAACGAGGCCGTTCACAGACTTAACCACAGATTTCAAGGATGGAATGGGACCGTCATTATCACAGAGTCCGCCTCATAGTAAGAGCTAAATGCTAGCTAGCTATTGTTACTATTGCTTTAATGATAATAATGATCATTGTTGCTATTAGTGTCTCCAGAGGGACAGTCATCTGGTCCCTTCTCTATATGTTGGAAAAGTCAGCAATATTGTTACATACTCAAAATGTTGTATCTTTCTGTAACCACAGGCCTGCTTTAATAAAAAATCCTCACTGCCTGCTTTTTTCCCCCCTTAAACCTTCACTTGAGAGCATTTTTTTCACTGCTTTTAGAGAAAGAGGAAGGGAAACAGGGGAACTCCAATGCAAGAGAGAAGCATCGCCCAGTTGCCTCCCCATCTCCTGCACCGGGCTGGGGAACGAACCCCTAACCCGGGTGTGTGTCCTCACTGGGAATGGAGCCCATGGCCCTTTGGTCGTGTGTTTCATCCGCTGAGCCCTGCTGGCCAGGGCCGCCAGTCTGTTTTTATAGATAAGAAACTCTTTAAAAGATTTTTGGGGTCTGGTAAGAAGGCTTGAATATAAAAAACCCCCAAAGAACTATGACTATAAAACATAAAAAACAAACAACCAACCCCTTGAATTCATAATGACCCGATCACCAATTTAAGAGAATAGAGGGAAAGAACATGTAAGTGAAATTATAGGGATGCATATCTAAAATACGTGATTTTTCCACACACACACACAAAATGATCCAGTTGCTTCAACAAATAAATGGCGTATTTTAAAAAGGGGGACCAGAACTACCACACGTTAAAAGAGAGTTAAGAACCATATCAACTGCCCTGGCCAGGTAGCTCGGTTGGTTAGAATGTCGACCCAACACACCACCGTTGCGGGTTTGACCCCAGTCAGGGCGCACACAGGAATCAACCGCTGACTGCAGGGAAAGTGGAATAACAAATCAGTGTTTCTCTCTCTCTCTCTCAAATCGATAAATAAAAATTAAAGAAAAAAAATCACATTAACCAAATTTAGTTTTTGGGCTTTGTTTGAAACCTGATTTAAACAAAAACAAACAAACAAAAAACGCAAACTTTTTTGGGGGTAAAAATAAAGGAAATCTGAACATAGAACACTGGATAGTGTTAGGTTTGCAAATGGTATTGTGATTACACAGCAACAGTCCTTAGGTGCATCACCTACTTACTAGGGATGCAAACCAAAGTGATGCTGCGCCAGGAGGAAAAAAGAAGGCAGAGTGTAGTGACAAGCAGTGAAGCTGGGGGATGGGTAGGAGAGGGTCTGTCGTATCACTCTCTCCGCTTTGACACACCTGTGCGCAGTAAAGGCCACAAGGGGGCGGGAGATGGGTTCTGTTGGGTCCCGACACCAATATCATTCTCCATGCATCTTCTCTCCCAGCTCAAGTTTTTCTGCTCTGGCTGGCTCAGATGGATGGACGAACAAGAGCTTTAAAGTTTTTCTTTAAATTGTATCTTCATATTCTTACTTACATGATGTTTAACATGGTTCCTATCATACCCCTGGCTACTCTAAAGTGAAAATGTAGGCAGAGGTAACTATTTTTTATATTTTAATAATGATGGCTTCCCATGGAAAAGGAATTATTGGATTTAAAAACACACAAAGACTCCTGTAAGTTGCCTGCAGAACACCCAAATTTCAGACTACTCCCTCATGCCACACACACAAGTCTTTCATTGACACAACAGCAAAAAACTAGATGCCAGCAGTTCTGTGTGGCGACAACTGAAGAAGCAACACAGACAGCGAACGACAGAGAAGAGGACACAGGACGCCGGTGCCCACAGGACGCCGGTGCCCACCGCACGCGCCGACTCACGCTCTGCCTGAGCAAGTCTGCACTCGGGGCGGTGTCACACCAGGGACGGGACTGGGGCACGCTGTGCAGTCAGGGGCAGCGGAGCAAGCTGACTCGTACCAACCGTCACGCCAGGGACAGGTCTGGCTGCCAATCTAACTGAACGCCACCACTGCTGGGACACACGACACACACCGCGGCCAGAGGGGACGGACAGCTCTGGGGCTGAACCACGGGAGGTGACCTTGCCAACCGGGGAGGCTCAACGATGAGGAAGAGGGTTTGTTCTGTTTTGTAGTTTAAGTATTTAGGCTTTTTAAAAAAACTGACAAACTATCCAAACATAAATGCCCACTCAGTCTAGCAGTAACTTTAGGAAGTTGCACTAAATCACCAAATTGAGTTGGCTAGAGAGTGGGTACACAGGTAAAAAAGCAAAGGGTACTACTTCACGGACAAGTTCTTTGTAGACTGACCTACCTTAAGCTATATAATAGCCATGCTCCACTTACTAGGCAGCTTTTACTGCCTGACAGTGTGCATGTCTATCCAAAGATGTCTTTAAATATGTGATTTAACCGACTTTCATACTCTTGAACTTTTTAAATCGTAGATAACAGAAATAAGGCCACAGAGGACTTTCTTCTTCAGTCATGTATGATTTAAAAATTTAACGGCTTATGATTCACCTACCTTTACACTTGCATGGGCATTTTCAAATTCAATTTAGCTTGCAGGCTGAATTTTAAGGAGGGAAATTTGTTCGAGAGCTACCAAAAAATGAGCCAAGTGAACCACAGAAAATGCTTCCCCATATTCAATATGCTGTTTTGCCCAAGACCATCTTTCCTTTTTATTTTTCAACTGAGAATATAAATTTTATTACATTGTACATACCCTTTCAATAACATGAACAAAATATTCTGTTGGGTGCAGATGTATTCAACAGTAGGAGTCCTTGTACCAATTTGTCTTCTGAGAATATTGTTGAAAATTTGAGCCACATCTTTTTTGCCCTATTAGGAATACAATCATTAAAATATTTACCTGACTAACCATCAAAAAGCCCATCCACCCTCCCCGTTAAACTTAAATCAAGGCATTGCATATTTATAATTATGACCAAATATATAACCTTAAAACATTCACAAGACATTGAATTTTCTTATTTCTTTATAATTTCACATTCTCAGTTTTAATACTATTTTTAACCCAAGCAGTGTGTTGACAAAGTGAAATCTCACTACATAAAATTTCAGCCATTTCCAACCCTCAGAATCATGCTGACTCAGATACGAAGAGCAAAACCTTGCTGTGTGTTTACAATGTTCAGAGATCCGATTCCCACTCGGATGGAACAGGCAGGCTACACAGGATGCCTGTGCTATACACACGGCACGTACTCTTCTTTCATAGTGATGGAAGGAGGAACTGTATGCTAGTAATGGCAACAATGAAAGAATTTCATCAGAAGCTGAGCTTCCGTGCTGGTAGACACGTGCCCCAATTAAACTAGGCCTACTTGGGGAAGACTTCATATACATTAATAATGAAGGTGTTAAGTATCTCGTGATGCAGTAGTTCAGACCAGAATTACGCCACTACACTTGACTAAACAAAATAGATGGACGTTGCCACTCTACAGTGAACTTTACAAATTTTCTAAGAAAGTAACAAATGCAGTGTTGGATGCCAAGAGAGGCTTCAGAATGGCTACTTATTCACAGGCTGACAGGCCTTCAGGAGACTGAGCGAACAATCACTTTCCATCACCAGAGACCTTCCCGGGGCCCGTGCTGGTCAGGAGTTGTAATAGCAATCTCTAAGAACCCATCTCAAGGGTATACACTTCTTTCGAATATATGTCTCTGAAGTGCCAAATGAATATTAACTTGAGTGACCAGGTTGGGGAACGGGATGGGCGGACAAAGGAGAAAGACCTGGATGTCCACCGTATTCCCAACACTGCAGAGAAAATAAAACTGCTGTTGTTGCCATCTGATACCCTATTAAAAATAGATGGAATAGGCTATATAAATGGGAAATGGTTCTACTTGTTCTATGGGGCAGAAGTCCATTTTTATTCTCTTCTCTCATCAATACTGTATTTGAGTAAACTATGAACCCCACCCTCAAATCCCTCTCCACAGCTGAACCTGGCACTATACCTGCTGTTTTCTCCCTGGTTTTTCAGGTGCCTGCACAGACGTCCAATTACCAAGGATGACAGACCCTGGGGCTTAAAGCAAAGCACACCCATAATAAAGAGTCAAAGGACCCTGACCATGCCGGAACCCCCATTAGTATACGTGTATTTATTTCTTAGACGGGTATCAAGGGCCATTATTCTCACTGTTACACTAAATAAATATTTAACACGACCTGATTTGGCTGCATAAGCTTGGGAAATGATCTCATCCACCTACCAGAGCTGGGTAGGAGATGCAAATGGGCAGAGTAGGCCTAAGGCAGAAAACCAGGCTGCGCTGGCTGCCATACACCCAACTGTGCTCTCCTGCGTCAGCTGGGAGACCACGTAGGACTACTGGCTGAATGTTACCAGAGTCAATATTTTCAAGAGAAGCCAGAAATTCAAAATTGTGTACGAAATATCCTACTGTTTGAAACGACATCCTAATTTCAACATTTATAAGCAGTGTCAAGAAGAACACATATTATCTCTGCTGTAACAAACTCTCAATAGGTAAAGACAAAAACTAAACAAACAAAAAAACCCCTGGATGTTCTTGGAGATATCATCTACCTCTACCACTCTAATGTTCTATGGGCATCTTTAGTGTTTATTCCTTGAGAACCAAAGACCAGTGAGTTATGTAAAGTAGCACCTGTTTACTAAACATAGCCTACATGGGAGGAGGACATGACGAATACCTAAGCAACTTCTGCACGATGTGGTGAAAGAAGGGGAGAAAACCTGGCCCACGCCTGGGACACTCTGAGCTCCTGCCCGGCTCTGCTAACAAGCAGGCAGTCTAGCCTGGGCATGCTTACAGGTCTGCCACCCCTGAGCCAAGAGCTGGGCAGAATTAAGAGCTGGGCAGAATCTTTAGCTGTTCCCAGGGAGAGAACACATGGAAAAGGACTAGGAACAGGGTGCTGTTGGAGAGAAATAAGAAACTGATTTGTTACCTCGAAGTCAATGAGCTGCAGGTCCGCCACCAGGGTGCTCAGGAGCCCGCTGTTGTACAGCTCTTGAGCCAGCTGTGCCACTGCTTCTGTCTGCGGCTCCTTCTCATTGGTGCCATAGAGAATTTCTTTCATGGCAACCAGATTTTTTGAAACTTCCTCTGTGGCCTGATTTTGGGGGAGGGGAAAATTCATTTTAACAAACATATATAATAAACACCTGTATCTGTTAAATAGCTTCACTGTGTATTATAAACCCATGGGCCCATGCACAAAACACAAAGGCGGACAAACCCCGAAGCTGCCCTTGGGAGCTAACAATGTGCGTGTGATGCACACACACACATGCACCAACGCAGGTGCCTGGCCAGGAAGACAGCACCTGGACCCTGAAAACAGTGTGATGACAGAAACAGAACAGGGAGAAAAGGTTCTATTCTGCCTCAAACGGGAGGAAAACAACATGGAAGAGGCACCTGAGCTGACCCACGGACTGGGACACTGAGAAGCGAGACGTGGGGGAAGGGGGATCGAGGAGCAAGAATTGGCAAGAGCCAGGAATGAGGGGCCAGGAGAAGTACAGGGTCTGTCAAGAAAAGGTGTGGAGGGAACGAGGCAGTGACGGCAGAAATGAAGCTGAAAGAGGCTCTGAATGCAAAGTGAAATGTCAGCAATAAATAAAATGTCACTAGAGAGCTTCCACTTCTGGCCAAGATATGGAGGAACAGGGGCCAGATTGTACCTTTCCCCATGAAAAAAAGGCTAAAGAATGGAAGAGCATGATGAAAACTTCAGGCAGCACAGGACAGTGGTCCCTGAGAGAAGCGGCACATGAAGTGAACCTCCCAGGCAGAAGAGGCGGCCTTCCTGAGCTGAGCTGAGCCGCCAGAGTGGGGCACCTGCGGAGGCAGCAGGGCGGAGCACAGGAGGACAGGGCTGCAGGCAGGTGAGCGGGAGATCTGCAAGGCAGCTCACTTCCTCAGCTGACCTGCCCTCGAGGCACGTGGGTGTGAGGGAAATGCCCGAGGCCAGCGAGCTGGGGCCCATACAGGCCGGACACAACTCCTGTCCCCGCCAAACTGAGAAAACGCTCGGTTCACAGGGTACGGGGGAGAGATTTCCAAGGGCTTTATCTCAGTCAATGAGGAGGAGAAAAAGCAATCAACTGAAACAGCCCTGCAAGTGACACAGGTGACAGAATTAATAAACAAGGACATTAGAAGTTACTGTAACTACAGTCAGTATGTTCAGGAAAAACCAACCAGGTTAAGTCATTTTTTCACCTAGAAATAAACTACACCTAGAAATAAATCATCACCTAGAAATAAAACTACGATGTCTGAAATAAAAATTACACTGGATAGGATTAAAAGCAGATTAGACACTGCAATAGAAATAGTAAATATAAAGACGGAGCAATAAAAAGCATCCACAGTGGAACCCAGAGAGGGGAACAGCAGCACACGCCAGTGAGTTAGAGGGTGACTGAAACCAGTGGACTGTGTGTTTGATGGTCCCCAAGGGGGGGGGGCAGGTGAGATAAATGAAGACATAACGAATGGCTAAAAATTTACCAAATTTGATGAAAACGATAATCCCATGGAGCCAATAAATTTAAAAAACTAAGAATAAAAAACAGAAAGAAAACTACGTCAAGGCATGGAATAATAAAATGGTTTTAATCCAGTGAAGAAAAAAATTTAAAAGCAACCAGAGGGTAAAAATATTGCCCCCCAAATCAAAGAATTACACAGACTTCTTGATAAAAATGAAGTAAAAAATAATAGAGGAACATCACTAATGTTATGGAAAAAGACAAGGTAACTGTCCTCTGAGAATTCTATACCTACTAGATCACTCCAAAAACAGAGCGGACTAAAGAGCTGTTGAGACACAGAAAAGCTGGAAGATTTTGTCACCAGGACACTTACACTATTGGAAATTGCTTAAGGAAGTCCTACAGGCAGAAGGAAAATAATTCAAGATGAAAATCTGCACGTACACAAAGGAATGAGGATCACTGAGACGGCAAAGTGGGTAAATATAAACGACTTCCCACTCATCATCAAAAAAAGTCTTTAAAAGACATTTGGTTATTTAAAGCATAAACAACACTGTATTCTGAGCTTATGATACATGCAGAAAATATGTGACAACCACAATTCAAAGGTGGGTGGGTAATGGAATGTAGTAAGGTTCTTACACAGGCAGCAGAATAGTATTTCTGAGACTGTGGTAAGTTAAAGTCATATACTATAAGTCCTAAAGGAACCACTAAAAAACAAAACAAGACTTAGAGCTAATAACAAAGGAGACTGAAGTAGGGCACCAAAGGTATGTGAAAACATAAAGGCTATAAAAAGCTATATAAACTCCCTGCTACAACCTCCTAGCCTCCTTACTACACAATTGCCTGCTTCACCTGAAGCAGTTCCAGCATCTGCAGGGTCTGCAGGGTTCAGAACCAAGAAGCTAGCTGTTAGTACACTTCAGGAGCCAGCCTTTCCTCGCTCTAGTGTCTGCCAGCCCTGGGGCTGCCCTGCGATCCGCAGCACCCTAGCTTCTCCTCCACAGAAAGGCTGCCCTTGAAGGCAGCCTGCTGTCTTCCCTGAACAGTCTTCCCCAGGAAACCTCTCGGCTGCTTCCCCATCCCTCCAAGGAAGACAGGGCTCACATTCCAACCCTATTCAAAGTGGAATGATGCGGAAGACAGCAGACCCCAATCTCCTACAGATGTCCCAAATGCCAGAGTAGCCCAAGGCTAGCTTTAAGAATTTTTGCCATTATAGCATACAACTCATTTAAAGCCCGATCTTTAAATGACAGTGCAACGAAGGCTTTAACTCATCCCACTGTTTAATCTAATCTCATCAGCAGCCCACCATTCCACACTGTGGAGGCATTTCTGGACTTGGAAGGACATCCGTTATACCAGCTGTCCCTCCTGTCTGTGCCACCTGAAAATCGGATAGGTGTGCTTCCAAAATGCTAAACAGGAAGTAACCCTGCAGGAAGTCCATTACCACGCCTCTGAATCACCATGTTCTTTTCAGTAACAATCTACTTACCGAACATCTCTGGGCATGGCTGCTCAATCACTTATACATTACACCTATTTTCAAATCACATTCAAGTGGCTTTTGGTTAAATACTTTGGTCAAATAATATCTATTTCCTCCACATTTCCTGATCATAAGAAAATGAAATAAAGCTAATTTGGGAAGACCTTTTTACGAAGCCTATGCTGAGTTCTACTGACTATTACTTTCTAGTCTAAGTGCTTACAAACCATTCTCCTAATATAATAACCCCATTATGAAAACGCACTCAGTATCAATGTTAAAGTGACCCTGATTGTGCTTTTTCTGGTCCAGTAAATGCTCTCTTAAAATCTAATTATATGGGTTGCCTTTTCAATTTCATTTTATTAATTTTCATTCTTCAGATGATTCTCTTCGACAGGGAAGCATCGACATCCAGTGGGTCTTCTGAGTCTGCTGCCTGTTGATTTTATGCCCAGGAGTCTCAACAGTGGGCCTCGGCCCCTTCTGCTTCTCTGGCTAGATCAAAGTTCTGAGGCTCACAGTAATCCTTCAATGCCCAGTTTATATTCTTCTTTGAAATCATGATATGATTTAAATCTGAACTGAGACCACTCTCTGCTCTCTTCTGATGGCAAAAGATGAGTAAGCAGGCGGGGAAGGTGACAGTGGCAGCTAAAAGGTGTGGGGTTTCTTTTTGAGGTGAGGAAATGTTCTAAAACTGACTGTGCTTATGGCTGCACATTACTTGCAAGTAAATGGGAAAACCACTGAATTACATGCATTTTAAATGGGTGAACTATATGAAGTATGTCTAAATAAAGCTGTTTTAAAAAGCAGGGAGGAGGGAAGTAATGAAATAAAAAGCTAATTATTGTAATTCTGAGAAGAAAAGCCACCTGGATTCACGTGTGAAGTCCTCTTCTTCCCTTCCTGAAGATGACGGTCACCTGTACTTGCAGGTGGGGGGGAAACCCGGGTAGGACTCCCTCATCCGCTACTGCCTTTATCGACCCATATCGACCCTCCCTGCTTCTGGCTTCCAGCCATCTCCTGGCTGCTCAGGAACTCACCCTGTTATCTCCTCTTCTAATATAGTCAACTCCTCTCCCCTTGATTTTTCCCCATCAGTTTTAAATATGATCAAGATTCCCATGAACAAAATTAAAAAAAAAACCTCTCCCTTGACTCCATAACTCTTTCCCAGCCACTGCCCACCATAATCAAACATCTCAAAACATCTGCCTGGGCCCTGGCTTGTGTGGCTCAGTGCATGGAGCATCGTCCTGCGAACTGAGAGGTCGCAGGTTCGATTCTCAGTCAGGGTACATGTCTGGGTTGTGGGTCAGGCCCAGTTAGGGGCATGTGAGAGGTAATCGATCACTGTATCTCTCACACACTGATGTTTCTCTCCAGCTTTCTCTCTCCCTTCCCCCTCTCTAAAAGTAAATAAATAAAAATCTTTTTAAAAAAGTGAGATCTCCATCAGCAAAACAAAATAATAACATCAAAAATACATCTGCTTGGGTTTGCTTTAGCCTCTGTCTCTTTCCCGGTCACTCTTCAGCCCAGTCACACGTGGCTTCTACACCTAGTCCTTCACAGTGTTCAGCCAATCACCAATGAAGTGCCTGTCATTAAACACAACTATCAGCCTCCAGTCCGTGTGAGCTCTTGGCAGCACTGCAGTTGTTGATTACACCCTTCTCTTAAAACTGCTCCTCCCTCATCTTCTGCTACTCATTACCACCCTAATTTTTTCCTTCCTGTTTTCCGGGTTGCTCCTCCTGTCTCCCTTTCGGCTCATCCTCCTGGATGAGGCCATTTAAATCTTGTATTCCTCAAGACAGGGCAAAGGCCCTCTTCTCAGTCCCTCAGCTGCCCCTAGGTGACCTCACCCACACCCACAGCTTTAATGAGCACCTCGGTGCCAATGCCTCACAGATCCTCTCTCCAATCCAGCTCTCACTAGTACGTTCAGCAGCCTACACACAATGCCTCCGCTTGGATGTCTCAAGGGACCTCGAACCTAACACATCTAAAACAACTCATGCTCTCGCTCCAGTGCCTGGTACTCTTCCCTTGTTCCCTATTTCAAGGAATGATACCACTACTGATGCTCATATA